AAGAATTTGTGGCGTCCTCCGTCACGTGCTCACGTCCTTTCTCTCCGAGTGGGCGCTTTGTTTTTGTGCGGAGTGTCTATCTTTGCAGAAAGTTATTTGGAATTTGACGCGGACAGAATATGTCTCGACAACGTAGAGCTCTTTGGGAGGCCGAACTCGACGACGATTGGCAAGACATCGATCTCAGTTCTGCAATCGGCAACTATGGGCAGATGTATGATGACGGTCAGTAAGCGTGAACATCTGGAAAGAATTTACGGTGACCTGGAATGCAGCGCAATCAAGGATTGACGAGGGAACTCTGCTCGTCGTGCAGCAGCAGATGGTACAGCAGGCAGAATTCGCACAGGTTCCCAATGTAGTGAAGCGCGTAAGTGGTCTGGCTATCTCGCCTAGCAATATGCTCACCCCCCTTCAGTTCATCGTGCATTTCTATCAAGCCATGCTGGATAACAATCTCGCGGAGATCACTGTCGCATATGAAACTGTCTTACAGAGAAGTTCTACTCAAAGACAAAGCGGCCTGAGGCAGAGGTGATTGCGCCGTTAGTGAACGACGGTAGGTTTGATCTGCCGTCCGTCAGTCTAGGAGCTCATTGATAGACCGCATTTATAGACCAGATCTTTCTCATCCCATACCGGGAGCTTTACTATCGGCACCTCGATTCGCGTCTGCAATGCGACATTGACGACTGCTTCCATTCGTACTCGTACGGGAACAGCTGCGAGCTGTTCAACTAAATTAAATGCGCGATTTGTAACGAACGAGAAGGGCTTTCTGGTTGGCCAGATGATGGATTTCAGGATCGACGAGGTAGGGATGTTGTTTGCTCGTGCCTGTGGTCGTTGCATTCCTGACAGTGTTGGTAGAACATGGTCCACATCGCCGAATCGACCGTTGGGCGGCGCTTTGCGGGATGGTTCATTCGGAACACTGAACACGCCCAGCGCGTGTTTGATACGCTCCGCAACAGCCCGCTTCCTGTTCCATCAAAGCTGTTGCGCAGAAACCTGCAGCGAATGGAACGAACAAGCCAGCGATGCCGGCTGTGTCTACTCCCCGGAACAGAAATCAGAAGGTGGCATGGGGAGGCGTCAAGGTCGTGTAAACCAGTAGCGTCTGTGCTATGCTTTTGTTTGTTGCGGACCCGGTGCTGTGCCAATCGCGCCAGTGGAGACACGAATTGACTCCTCTGCAACACATATGCAAGGCCTTGAAGTTAGCCTCAATCCACGACGTGCTTTTTCCTCCCGTCGTTTGAAGGTGACCAAGATTATGTGGAACCCTTTGCATCCTCTTCCCGCGCCGCCTGACTTTGGCGAGGGTGAGGTAGTTCCAACGAGAGAAGCTTCATGAGTGTATATCTCAACTTTCATGC